AAAAAAAAAAAAAAAAAATTTACGCTTAAAAAATCGAATTTTTTTTAAAAAAATAATTCATAAAATTCATCATTAAATATCAAAAAAAAAAAAAATATTCTGTCCGACTGTCCGTAATTATAGTAACACAAAGAACATATAACAATATTCAATTGAACTTTATCTTATAACTGGAGTTTAAACGAAATGAATATTTATAACTTAAAAAAGACAGCCTAGAAAGAATAGAAAGAAAATTATTATCCATCGAATTTGGCAAGTTAATAATGAGTCAATTTTTGGGGGATAATTTATGTATTGATAAATTAAACACTGTAACAAAAATATCCAAAAACATGGGATTATTAATTAGTAATTTAACCTTACTCAATGACTTAATAAACTTTATTTCTGATTGTAGAATAGTCGATTTCATAATAAATTCTCTCCCTTTTCTGTGTTTGAAACCGTGTCAAAAAAATTGACATTTTTGTTCAGCCAAAATACTAAATAAATTCGACAGTTACATAATACACAAAATTCATTTATCCTTTTTGATGTAGCAAATTTGTATACTTGTCATACATTAATTATTATTATTATTATTCTGATTATCTTTGTAAATAATGAATGACCTCTTATATTTAACAAATTAACAAACATCATCTTTCGTTATAATTATTACAAATAAACAACAATTTTTTTTAAATATAAACAGTGTATAGATTTTCATCAAAAGCAAATAATAAAAAAAAATGTTTGTAAAAATTTTTACATCTTGTCTTTTATAACTTTACATTTTTTTTTTTTTTTCTTTAAAATTTACGGGTAATATAAAAACATATTCTCGAGAATTAATGCTTCAAAAATTTTCTTATTTAACTTACGTGCATTTTAATAATTATGTTCGCGATTTCCGTAAAGTGCCCCTATTTTATACATTATGTACATTCATCACAAACTAAGCCTAGTATACTTATATGGTCATTATTTTATTAAATTAACTGAACTTATTTTCTAGATTCATTCCCGTGCACGGTAAATAATAACAATAATTAACCAAAAACAATGATCCAATATTCCGTTACAAGTTAAATTATTATTTTTTTTTTTTTGTGTATCATGCAGTTATTAATGAAATTCACAAATCGGCAGCCATTCAAAATATATTCCTTAATTCAAAAAAAAAGGGTTCATTCATGTGAATTATATCTGGGATCGTTGTTATTGCTGTAAATCTTTCCCCAAAGTTATGTTTTGTTTAATAAATATTTTGACACATGAGTTACATCTTTTCACATCAGATTCAAAAATATTGTTACACGGCAATAAAAGATGTGTGACGCGTTTAAATTAATGAGAAGTTTTGAAACGTAATAAAATGTGCACCGATTAGGTTTGAATAATTAATTAGGATGCAGTCTTATGTAATTATAAAAACACTGGAAAAGTTCTTTTGTTTTAATATTTTATGTGGTCTTTAATGCTATTTATTAAACCTAAAATCTAAAGTCAAATTTCATCCCTCTTGCTGTTTCGTCCGGAACATCTATATATAATAATTCTTCTATGCGTATAACTTATACTTTTTGTAAATTACATCAAGTATATTACACTATCAATGCGCTGATCATTTTGATTATGTCAGCTGTATGCCGAATTTTTGCCGAATGTTTCAGCTGATCTACGTAACACTATATTGTCATAGGATTGTATTAAGTAAGTTCTACTCATGAATTGACGGTTTTATTTTTGATCAAATGAATTGAAATCAAGAAATTAATATTTAAAAATTTTAAATACACAATGATAATATCTGTCATAAAATGAAAATTTTCGGACAATTTAATAATATCAAGTAAACAGAAATTTATTATGCGATAAAATATAAATCAATATAAATCGTTATACGGTTTTATTTGAAAATTAATATTCTACATGAAAATATAAAATAAATATACGTCCCATCTGAAAATGTACTACTGATAGATATTTAAAGGTGTACGTTATGTTATTGGTTTATTTTGATTTGTTGATTACTCATATTTTTGATTAAGGTCTTTTTCACTCTTGTTTGAATCAATTATTCTCAGATTTACAAGACTATACTCAGTATACTGTAATTATATTATATATATAATATGTAGCATGTATTATTAAAGTTCTTTCTTGTATCTTTTATAATTTTCAATAAATTAAGTTTGCAGGATTCTATTATAAAAGAGATATATTTTGCTTTCTCTTTTTGTGCTAATAATTAATATTAAATTATGTTATCATAGAAAATTAAAGAATTACATTAAATATAATATCTATAATATCTCACTTGAAATAAGATTTTCTCTCTCTCTCTCACAAAAAAATTTTTTTTTTTAAGAATATATTTTCTTTTAAAAAAAAATATAATTTTTTTTCTTTCGAAATTTTTTTTTAATTGTTAGAAATATATTAAATAGGAATAGAATGAATAAAGAGAGAAAGAATAAAATAATGGTTTAAAATTTTTAAAAAATATGAATTTATATGGATACCCAATCCCATAATTTAAATTTTTCAAAATTTTTGTTACAAGTATAAATAGAAATCTAGATGAGTTTATTTCAATCCCCATAATTCATGGTTTTCTTTTAAATTAATGGAGAATCTCTTGCCAAAATCGATATCACACGTGTTCATTACTTTACCAGGGCTTCGGCACGAGTCTCCTTTCGAGGATTGAAGTTTTGGTATTACACGGGTGACCAGTTTTTATCAATATTAGCGGGTTGGGAGTGAAGTGAAAAGAAAAAAAAATTATGCTTTCTGTATCTTAATATTAAATAGTAATGGGTAAAGAAATAGAAAAGCTTCTAGGAAGTCTCAAGACGTAAATATAAGCTTTATTTGGAATCAATTCCATCGATGATCCTTATCCTTTACAATTCGAACTCTTGATGCGCACGAGTCGTTCAACATCTGGGCAATTGGTACTTGTACCAGTTCCTTTCGAGGTCCTTGTCCAGATGTTTTGTATTGGGTTCTATTTACTAGCGGGTTGGGAGTGAAGTGAAAAAGACTTTTAATCATTTTTTGTGAGAACTCAAAATTTACACTTGTCACTATCGGGGCAGGAAATTCAGTCATTTCAGAGTATCCATCTGTAACGGTTGGTAAGTCATTATGTACACCAATCGAGAGAATGATTAAATCAGTCAGTAAGATAGTGCGATAATAATATAATAATCGCTCTACAGAAGTTGGGTGGTGCCAAATATTGCGATAATGATATAATATTCGCTCTACAGAAGTTGAGTGGTTTTATCTTGAATATTTTTTTCTAATTTAATTGGAGATTTAGTCGGTATTATGTTGTTTCACACGATCACGTAATTAATTATTTTTTAGAAGAGGTAGGATGACTGCTCAGGATCGTTTAATTTTGTAGTTAAAAAGAAATTTTAAACTTTTATAATTTTATTGATTAGTTGATTAAGTATATATAGGTCTCGCGTCTGATCAGATGATGATGTGTTGCAGTGTATTAAAATTATTATTATTTATAAATCCTAAATTATATTTAAAAAGATTAAAATATATAATATTCGGATTATAAGTAAAAAAAAGTATAGAGGATAATAAATTTTTTATGCATGGACAATAAAATAATTTAGAATGATTTGAAAGGTTATATAAATGCATGGCTTATAATTTATATGCATTTTTACTGATATGTAGATAAGATAATTAACAAGAAAGTTTTTTTTTAAAAAATCATCTTTCATCTTTAGAACATATAAATAAAATGTCAAGTATATAAAGTTGATAAAATAATAGAACTATTACTTTTTTTCTTTTATAAGAAAGTTTTCTTTTTTTATAAATTCTGAGATACGATATAATATAATAATGTCATGAAAAGGTTCGAATATAATGTGGCTTAACAATAATCACGTGAAAAATATTAAATATCCAATCAACTACATCAAAATATTTAAAAAAAAAACTTTATTATTAATATTGTTAGTTATCGTTATTGATTAATTTCCGATTAAATACGTCAAAATATTTACAGAAAAAAAAAAAACTTATTATTAAAATTAATCAATAATGTAACAAAAAAAAATTATATAATAACAGCATGTAAATATAGTTTAACAATGCCATGCATATGATGATTATTAAGTTTAATTTTGACCCTTTTAATATATATTATGCAGAGTTTTAAGATTTAACCATTTAACCATTTATCCGATCTATCCAATTATATTACGAACTTAAGATAGCCAAATTTTACTATCTTTTTTTTTTATTTCAATCAAAGAACCCCATCTAATTAATTAAAGCCATACCAAGCAAAAGATTTGTTAAATAACATTATGGCGTTAGAAAGGGGAAAGGAGAGTTTCTAATTTACAAAATGAACAGTCACATGATTTTACAATATAATACTTTTGAAGGATATACAAAGAATAAATACAAATTAAATTAATTTCATGATGAAGTAAATGTCGAAATAATTTGGATCTATTATTCCACGCTCAAAATATAATTTATATTCATTCTATGATCCTGAGATGTATTTAGAATATGATTCAGATCCATTCTATAATCGCGAGTCGGGATGATATTTCTGTAATCAAGGTTATTATGAAGTGAGTGATATTATAATTTAGATCATACTAATTATTACGATCTTTCTAAATTAATAATTAGTTTACGTCCAAGATCCTGATCCCATTGAACCAGCAAATTTTTATTTTAAAAAAATGAAAGAATTATGACCTAACAATACTGCCATCGTTGTTGACAACATTGTGTTTCTTTAATATTACCACTATCACCACAAAAAAAAAAATAAAAAAAAAACTTACCGTCGAGCTAATAGTTGAATTCCTTGGAAAAATCCTCGAAAAGATACTAGATTATGCCTTTGACGAAATCTTCGGTTAACTCTTCTACGAAATATTCTTCGATACCTTTCTATATCTGTAAAATGATTATATATGAATAGGTCATTAATATAAAAGAAATCATTATTAAAAATATTTTACCAAAGATATAATTACTTACTGTCAAGAGCTAAAAGTCTAAGATACCTAATAAATTGGTAAAAAAAAAAAAAAAGAATAAAACTTCAATAACAACAACAGCGATACCAGCAATCACCACCACCTTTCGTTATTCACTAAAAATATATAATTTTATGTACATACCTCCTCCTGCATTGTAAAGCACTTCTTCCCAGTACAATAGATATTCGTGCCCAATTTATACCAATAAAATCTACTAGAAAAATAAGATTGGTATCCTCCTAGATATATTTTTTTTTACGAAAAATTTTAAAATTTAGTTAAACAAACGGGAAAAATTATTATAAAATACAAGTACATACTCTGTCGTTCCAAGGCTGGCGTGGAAATTGTCGAAATTGTCGGTTCTGTTGATTAGTGTTCATGTAAATATACAAAAGAAAAAAAACAATACAGTTTAAGACCGTAAATTTTTTCTCTTATACAAGAATAAATGGTTATGAAAGTTTCAGATGAGGAATATATTATATACGTGATAATTTCTTATGAAAAATAAAATTGCCGGCTTTTCATTATTCTTATTTGTCAATAAATTCTACCGGTGAAAAAAAAAATTATGTGTAGAAGAGGGAAAAAGAGGAAAGATGATAGTAACACAACTCAGGGTTCTTAAGTTCTTAACAGCTCTCATATTACTTTGTTATTTCCTATTTTATTTTTATCGCACTCGAACATGTGTTTGTTGTTTCAATTTCCAGTATATCTAATTACAGATAATCGCATCTGTGATACATTGACCCCCCTTTTCTCTTTTAAGCAATAGCAAACTTGTAAAGCAGCCAAAAATACCCATAGCACGCAATAGCGTATAACTTTAAATATCAAAACAGATAATAAGTCTATTGAATTATTTCATTTCTTAGAAGTTATAACAACCTTTTTGCACTTCACGTGTGACAATGTCACGTTTTTTTACCATAGAACTTTACGTATGTTGTATGCATGACAGCATTTAAATAGAGTCAAGATCTTTTTTATTCGAAGGATGGTGTTTAGTGATGGTTTTAGTTATGATAAACACAGAGAAATAGAAATTAATGTAAAAATAATCTTACCCATAATTATAAATAACCAACACTCCTCTGAAATCCAAACCTTATCAGTATTATGTTAAAATAAAAGCTTTACATTCTTCATTTTCAAATTTGTAACATCAAAAGAGTAATGTTTCAACATTAATAATTTCGTAAATTATAATATTTAAATGATTCTTATTAAAATTCCAGATAATATTTTCTGGGAACTAAATATTGAAATGCTGGTTTTTTCGAGTTTGGATTATAATTCGGTACAATAACAAATGATTCTATAATACTTTCTCCCTCCCCAAAATTCTTTAACTTTTTTCTCAAGAAAAAGTAACATATTGGAAATCTAATAATTAATTATCATTTTTTTTTAAAAAAATTGGAACTATTAATGTAAAAAAAAAAAAATCTCTTAAAATAATATACTTACTCATCAATTATTCTTGTCTATCTCTATTAGTTTTATCATAAAATAATTAAAAGCGTTAACCAATCAATCGTAAATCCAAAGCTTTACATTCTTTTCCATTTTAAGTATCGCAAGTATCGCATAAGCAAAAAAAACAATTCAAAAAGAAAAAAAATTTCAAATTTTTGTAAAATGTTAAGACAAACTCTGTCCCGTTATGCCTGTAATAAAAAATGAAAACATTAAAGTACAATATTGAAAAAATAAAAGTAATCAGACCTACGTTAGCATATACAGTATATTAAATATAAATATTATTCGACTCTACTTTCAATTTAGCAACTATCAATGATATTCATACAATATTACTACTAATATAATGCAAACTATAGCATTTAGTAACAAATAAATGATTAATTGTTAAAAAAAAAACATTTATTATAATATCATATTTAAATTTTTGATAAAATTATGAAAAATTACAGAATTTCCGTTTAATTATATTTGTTTAATGATTCCAAAAAATAATTGTCTATCTAATTCGTGCTACGTGAGTCAACTGCAAGCATTAACTAAGTAAACGTTAATTGGGTATTGAAAAAAAAAAGAAATATTTGAAATTGTAAATATTATGTAGGTAACTTGCGGATCACGAATTAGAATCATCATTAAGGATGTAGCTCCATTCCATAATTGGATTTCGATGCCTATGATTAGATATATTTACTGGAGGAATTGTTAAAATATTGTCAGCAGCGGCAACAACATTATTTCTGAAATTAAATAAAATTTAATTTAGATAATAGTTGGATTGTGATATATCAACCATTAATAAAAGCAATGGAGTCAACTCTCTATAAGTGCACCAAGGACCATAAAGTTTATATAAGACATTTAACATAGTAGACGCATTTATATAGAGGGTACTGTACATTATGGTATAGTGAAATTTGAAAATACTCACTGTCGGATATTACGCATATGACGAATACAACGACTATGATTACGATGACGGTAATTTTGGACTCCTAAAAAAATAGATAAATAAAATAAAAAATAAAAATTTATATTTTAATAAAAAGATACTAGATCATAAACTAGTACTATTTTTTATAATTGTACTACTGTGTAAGCACATACCTAAAATTTCATTATATCTGGAAAAAAAAGAAATAATATAATATAATGAATAAAAGTTAAGTCAAATTAATTTTTGTTGTAATAAATAAAACCATACTTTTTCACGCATTCGATAAATGTTCTTCCAACTTCTTGTTCGATTAGTTTCCTTTGATGACGACCATGTTTACTCATAGAAGTAATGAGATTTCCAATTTCCTAAATAAAGTTTAAAAGGTTACAATTAATCAAAGTTTTAAGGAAAGTTAATTTTTAAATACGTACAAAATTGTTCCACGGTCCTCTTTTGTATGTAGTCATTTTGTTTTTATAAATCAAAAGAAAAAAATTTTTTTTGAACTAAAAATTTGAAGGAGAAGATAGTTTGAAACAAAAGAGAATAAACAAACAAAAAAAAAAAAACTAGAATCGGATGATATTTTTTAAACTAAACCTTAAATGTTACGACTGCGGGCAGTATGACTTGAAACGAATTTAATGGAAACGGAAGAAATTTATAAATATCACATGGAAAAATACACGTGATATTAAATTCTTTAATATTTTCGAAGGACCATATAACGCTCTACTTCAAAAAACGTGATTTTCGTTATTTTTGTCATTTTCGTTATAGTTGTTTGCTTGTTTGCATGTCTCGATGAAATTTTCTATTTGTTTGTTTGTTTTTAATAATTTTATATATATTTATATGAATCATAAACATCTGAAGGAATTTGTAGAGTTTAAGAGTACTAAAAGTGTGTGAGATGTAGCAAATTTCAAAAAAAAAGGACGAAAAATCTTGAGGCTTATAGGTTTATATATAATATATTGAGCTTTTTATTTTCTATTAATATTTACAAATTAATTTTTATTAAAATATTATGGATCACAAAGATTATCTTGTTTCACACAGACACAATTTTTAATTTTTTGATATTATCCTATGCTTTTACACAAAAAATTCGTTGTCGTACTGAAACGACAGCATTGAAAATTACTCTTTAAATTAATGAATCAAAATATCAAAATAGCTTCATTCAAAAAGGGTTGCACATAGATATTTATAATTTTTATACAATTAGATAATAATTAGATTAATTAGCCAATCTCCGTAGAATAAATAGTATAAGTAGATTTATAACGTTTCACCACTAAAACTAAAGTGGTTGCATCTGATTCTTTTTTTCCATAAAATCAGGAATGTACTTTTTTTTCGCGTCAGGATCTGCTTGATATAAAGTATATACTAACGGTGATCTCACCTTTTTTAGTAATTTACAATTTTAAAATAATTTTATAAATTAGGAAATTTTTTTATATTTACATGTTTGTGAATAAAATAATTCACCATTAGTTATCTAAAATTAAATAAAAATTTATGACACTAAAAAAAAAATGACATCAGTTTGGGAATATATAAAAGAAAAAAAACAATTCTTGAAACAACGCCTAATAGTAAAAATAGAACTATAATTTTAAAAAGGTAAGGTTATAATTTGTCAATTAACGATTTTTTAAAAATATAAAAAATTGTAACTCGGGAACTTATATTAAATAAAAACTTACATAGAGAACATAAAGAATAAAATTAATTCATTATATATCTCAAATCCATTTTTTGGTTTCGATTTATTGGTCTAGAATTAGATGGAACCACAATCACGGGAGTGGTTGGAGGAATCGCATTATTATTATTAACGTTATTTCTGAAATTAAATAATATCTAAATTTAGTATAAATAGTAAGCTGCGATAAATCATAAATCACATGATCTTCCAATGTCCAATAATTCAATCGGCGACCAACAGTACGTCTTTGGTGCCATTTGGATATTAAAAAAAACTTACTGAAAACGATTTTTTTGTGTAACTGTTAAAATGAACAAATTTAACTGTTAAATATTTTGAAATACCATACTTCCGTGCCCACTATGAATTATACTTACTACTTGATTTTGAAAGTTCGACATACTTTATTTTGCAATCATGTGCAGTCCTTGTTTGAAGTTTTGATGAGATTAATATCCAGTCATTGACATATTCATTAACTAATTCATGAAGTAACATTTCTTCCTATATAAATCATAAAAAAAATATTATAATAAATAAAAAAAGTATAGTAAAAGAGAAAAACAGAGATATTACATATATGAGCCATGGCCTCTTTCTTTGTATAGAGGGTTTGTGTTGATGCTGTTGATTCATCATATAAGTAAAAAACCAACCAAATAAAAAAAAATGGTTTCAAGCAAAATAGAACAAATTTTTAAAAAAAGAAAAATTTTTTTTTTTTTTTTTGAAGTTGGCATTTGGAATTGACTTTTAAATAACCACTTGGGTTATCATATAATCTAAATAATCAGGAATTTTTGGCTAAACATAGAAATAATTTGGTCAATACAATCCTCTTAGCGCCGGCGCCATACCTTTAATTATGTATGATAAGTGATAACAGTGCTTATAACTTTATAAATTATAAGCTATTCTCTTGTAACTTCCAAAACGGGCAACTACAAGGTCAAAGAATTTATGTGGTTTCATTCATTCAATAAGATTACATATTTAGTGATAATCTCCTCTTTCTTATATATATAAATTAGGAAAATACAGAGTTTGAGATTTTTTTTTTTTTTTTTCCTTCTATCGCAAAAGATTCGGGACGTTTATATAATTTTAAGGTTTTCCGTTTGTTTTTTAACCTGTGTAATGTTAATCATTTGTTGTTTGGCATAGAACGTCCAATCGTTTATACAAATAAAAAAACAAATTGAATAAAAAGGAAGAAATGAATGAATAAACAGCGATACATTCAATTTATTTATGTAACGTACGGGTTATATTGAGTTATATTGTTAAGCCATTTACATGTTCATCGACCGAGTTTAAAAATTAAAAAATTATTTTATTTATGTAGTGCTTCCATGTGCAATTAGCACATGTTATTTTATCTATATTCGTTATAAAAATTAAATAAAATAAAATTATAAATATTTAAATGTTTCAAATTGTAAATTCGTAGAAGCTTCCCAACTTCTTCCGGCTGACTTTTAATTTCAATTATTTTAGTAAATAATACAGATAATTGTAATAAATAATTATGTTGTATAAATAATGTTTGTAAAATAACAATTAAACTACTGGTATATTTTCATTTAATAAAGGTATTTTATTTATTTTTGTATTTTGATTTTGTAAATTTATCTATCAATTTAAATATATTTAATTCATTTAATTCTCATATATAGATGAATTTGCGCTACTCCTGTAAATTTTGTGAGAAACAATTCATGTGCTCGTAGAGCACAACTATATCATGAGCTTTGTTTAACAAATATTTTTAGGGTTACGGGACATTTCGCCGAAAAATAACAGCATTATGAATAACTCAGGCCAGAGATTATTTTTCAGCGAATTGTCTCGATACCTATTTTTAGTATTTATTTTTATTATATTAATTGTGTTGTATATAGCATTGAATCTCAATCCTAATAAAAAATATCCTACTCTGTGAAAAGATCACAACCACTCCTTTATTCTTGTAGATATTGCAGAATCTATAATAATACTAGCGATAAAGTTTTTTTTTTCAGATTTGCGTTAAGATCAATCAATATAATATTGTGGTATTTTTTTTTTTCCAGATTTGCATTAAGATCAATCAATATAATATTGTGGTATTCCTTCAATACTCTATCGCAAGTTTTGGTTGTCGGGATTTTCGTTTATCATCATGTAGTAGACTTTAATATAGTGATGATATTTCTACCATAATAGTTCTAAACTTATTCGCAAAGTCTTCTTACGTCCAGCTTTCGAATCTAAATAAGAAAGTACACCACAAACGTTTGAATGCGCAAGTCCTAAATCTGAGATTCTTTCATTATAGAAATTTTTCGTAACTCGAAGATATTTCACCATGCAAGAAGGTTCATAATTACTTGCGATGTTCCCCAAAATTGAATGTTCTGCATAGTTTAAATCATCATAAATCCTTTGATTGTGACGCTGTATATTTGAAAAACAATAATGATCAAGAATATTCATTACATATTTTTAATCTAAATAAACATAAATAGTTATTTCAAATAATAAACATCATGAATAAAATTATTTATTTCTTTTTTAAAAAAAAATTCTTTTAAAAAATTACCTCATTAATAAAAAAATCCCTGCTTATGTTGTTCCCGTCACTGAATTGTTGAGAAGCGTATAATCTTTCGTTATGTCATAACGACAACAATGTATAATTAATGGTTAAGAACATTCATGATATACTCCTTTTTTTTTAAAAAAAAAAAAACAGTTAAAAAATGAAAAAAGTAATTATAAATAATTTTTTTTGAAAAAAATTTTTTTTTACCTCATTAACATGTAAAATTCCTGTCATATTACAGTTTTTAATTTTGTTTCTTTAGCACAACTATAATAGGATCAATATATGATGTATTCTATTAAATTTTCCATTTATTCTAATCTTTATTCTAGTAATCATGATTCCAATGTATTGTTTGGTTTACTTATTAAAAACGGAATTTTTTCCAGTAACAATAAAAAAATATTGTAACAATACACTTCCTTCAAATTTTGCTTTCAAATATTGGCGAAGGGTACCACTCCCAGCATATTCCATCAACCAAATAAAAAAACCATAAAACCATCATCATCATCAATAGGTTTACGGTAATACCTTTGAAATCTATTGTAAAGAAAAAAAAGATGATAATTATGTTAAAAATACTTCAAAAGAATAATTTAAAAAAGTAACCTTAGATTATAAACGCTTATCGTTCTCACTTTTTTTCCATTTAATCAATAGTCTTATAACACGCAATGTTCAATATTCGGTTTTCTTTTCATACCTTTTAAATGTCTTCTCAATCTCCTTTTGAGTTTGTTTTTTAAGACATATTTTTGAAACAATTAACCCATTTGATAAAAATATGATATATTTTCAAATACAAAATGCTTGAATGTTTTGTAATTATGAGTAAAAAAAAGTAAAAAAAAAAAGGTTTAAATTGCTAATACTTGTTTTCGTGTTACACAGACTGACTGACAATAGTATTTGTCACGTGATCCAGCGATCACATAAGTTTCAAATTTTAATATTTTGATTCGAGTATTATTATTAGGTCTTTACAAATCAAATGATATAAATGATTATAGATGTTTAAATACAATTATGTTGTAAAAAAAAAAAAAAAAAATTTTTTTAAAGAAAAAAAAACAGAAAAATACATTTTCGTTTAAAGAGCGAGAACCAGAAAATACGAATCCAAGATAATCAAGAAAATTGTTATTTTGTTCAAATCATAAAAATCATAAAATCATGTGACTTGTTCGTTGAACTTATTTTATAATTCAAATACAGTTACTTTAAAAAAATCGGGAAACAATAGTCTAAATCTAATCTTTACTTTTATGATTTAACCAATAAAATTGATATGTCCAATTTTGGTTTTTTACTCATCTATTTATCTCATTGTAGTTCATTGTTGAGCAATTAAGGGAAAGTATACCACTAAAAAAAATTTTTTTTTAATTAAAAAATCAACAGACTAAATAAGTTAGCGACGGAATAATTTTTTCTTTTTGGTATTTGTATTTCAAAGTAACACAAGATGCTAAGCGATAGATTTTTTCAAATGTCATTTAACGCCTCAAAATAAAGTGAGGCGGTTTTAAAGCCTAATAATACATCTTTTATTTGGTTGTGCAACTCGAATTTCATGATCCATTGTTATAAAGCATCATTATATCATAATAACAGTAAATAAATACCATACAAAAAAAATATTTATTACATTCTGATTTTTAATATTAAGTAACTTTCTATTTTAGTTAATTTAGAAATTTCGAGAAAATACACTGTTTCAAATATATATAGTATACAGTATATATACTGTATATATGTACTGTATATTATACCGAAGTCGTGGTTCAAGTCCAAAATTTCGGTATATAGTTCGAAAGATTAACGAAAATCACATGATAAATCTACGTTATGTTTTGTTTTCGTAAATCATTTAACATGGGAACTTTAGATTATCAATAATGATCTCCGTTACTTCGAAATTTATAGTATTGAAATGGTTTCTAAAAAATCTTCGGTTAATCCTAAATTCGGTACATCATGTATTCGTTATTATACTGTATTATCATTATACTCAATATATTTTGGAAATGAACAAGTCGCACTGACAAATGGTAGTTTATAGACGATGTTTTAGGTAATATTAAACATTTGATTTTTTTTTTCGTGAACATTAATTTTATCTAGAAGTTTTATTTTACCAAATTTCTATTGTAAGAACATCGGATTGTAAAAAAAAAAAAAACTTTTTTAAAATAATGTCAGGTACAGGTAGAACGTAAAAATAAACTTGAATAAAGAATCGATAAAATTAATTATAGGGTACAGGGTTTAGATTTCTAGCCATGATTTAAGGAATTGTTTAAAATAAAATTCAGATTCATTCTAGGATCTTGCGAAGAATTTAAAATATGATTTAAATTCATCCTAGAATCTCGGAAAATATTTAAAACATGACTTAAATTCATTCTCGGATCTCGTGAATCATGAGAGGAATTAGAAGTACTTAGATCACGAGAAGTATTCAAAATATGACTTAGATCCATTCTTGGATCACGAGATATGGTGTTATTCCTGTAATCAAAATAAAGAAATAAAGATCAGTTTCATATTACAAGTTAACAGTATTACGATGCATGATTTGTTATCAAAGATTATGATATCCTCTCATATGAAAAAATTAGGAAGGAAACATACGTTTCTACCTTTATGGGAAGAATCATAAATTTTGAAAACGTAGAAATTGATCCATCTATTTTTGATGGAAGGATGGAAGGATGAAAGGATGGAAGGTTTGAAGGATGGAAGGTTTGAAGGTTTGAGGGTTCAACTTCATCGATTCACTTCTTTTATTAGAAATAATTTTACATAAAGAACTTACTGCTGAGCTAAAAGAATTCCATGGAGGAGTCTTTCAAGAGCTATTGGTCGAAGTCCTTGAGAAACTCTCTGATTAACTCTTCTACGAATCCTTCGAGCACTCCCTATACCAATGGAATAAAAAAAATAAATATATTAATAAATCTGTTCAGAGAGATCATTTCAATAAAATACTAATCAAGTACAAATTTTAAAAGAGTTGTGCTTACCACTATCTTGATTTATAATTTCATAATACCTAAAATTTCATATGCAAAAGAGCGAAGATGAATTTCATGTGTCAAAATAGAATTTTATCGTATATCGCTACACACAGTACTCGATCAGTAAATAGTACCTGGGTATTATATGCTGCGTCATACGAGAAAAAATATTTACATACCTCCTCCTACACTGAAAAACACTTCTATTAAGTAGACGAGAAATTCGCCTCCAATTACTCAAATTACGGCCCAATAGAATGACCAACAGGATAAGGAGAATTTCCTCCTATAAATGAATAAATATATGGTCATGTAAATTGATCATGATCAAATTTTTGAATCAATTTAATATTTTAATAAATATATTTACAATGTAAGTCCATTGATGTCGGTAAAACTGAGGCATATTGAAAAGAAAAATAAAATAAAATAAATAAATAAGTAAACAGTTTTCGTTTCGTTTTTTAGTATTTATTGAAAGTTAGATAAGAACAAACCGATTTTGTTTTTTTTTTAAAAAAAAAAGCTATTTATAAAAACAAACCTTTTAAAGTGCACTCTGCAATGAATTTATCTAACTGTTTTTATCGTATTTTCATTGTTATTTATTTAATAAGTAGTTTATAACGTTTAAAATAAAATTACTTTCTTAAATTCAACTAAAAAGCATAGTTTGCAAACAAAAGGTTATCCCGAAAACGAAATATTAAAACGTTAAAAAGGGTCCAGAGTTTACATAACTAAGAAATTACTTAATCTGACAATTTGATCCGAGTAGATCCGATCCATACGAAAAAATGTTGGAAAAATATGTAACACATACGACAAGTGATCGATGTCATTTGACAACTTTTTGTTATATGCATTAAGTCAAATGACCCGCATTCAATTACAAAGTTTAAAAAAGTTTATATTAAAAATTAATTTCAAAGGATTTATGAGTGAATGAATAGAATATTAATTACGATATTTTGTTCGTATGATACATTTTGTGTGTGATCTAGTAATCCAGTATGGGGTCATACATTACTTTATAAAAATCTCAAAGAAACTGAGAAAGGTTTTCTTGTGTATTTTCTTTTATTAATTCAAAATGTAAATCTTTTGATGATTGGTATTTGTTTGTATTACTAAAACAGTTGAAAGAACCGCCGCGTTATGAAAATAGTATTATTCCCAATATAATAAGTTAGTATACATTGTGATTACGATTTTTTTTTCCACGCCACTTACTGCGTTACTGGTGAAAAACTCGTTTCATACCTGTAAATAATAAATAAATGTTTGTTTATTAAAAATTTTGTTTACTAACGTAATTACATAAAAACCTAATATTATCTGACAAAGTATTGTACTAATTATGTATGAAATTAAAAATTCAAGTTTTGAGGATTTTTTTTTTAAAAAAAAAATTGAACTACAATCTCGTTGAAAGTATATGAAATTAGTGACCAATTATTAATACCATGTTCTAATATTTCTTTCTAGTTCCTATACAGGTTTAAAACCGAATAAACATTATGTATTAAATGTTACATTTCGTTGTCGAAGTGGTGTGAATGAAAAAAAGGATTTTCAATATTAACGGTTGTTTTAAAAAAAGTTTGTACCCATTTACAATGATACAATACGTTAATCGTAAATATCTTCTTTTTTTTAATAATGGATTAGAAATGGAAATATTTTAAAAAGGCAAATACTTATCCAAAAAAGGCAGCTCAAGTAAAAAAAAATTTCCAACTTTGATTCTATCTCTAACGGGTAATTTATTTATACCAATTAAGGAAAAGTGTTTTTTTAATCAAAAAGAAGAAAATTTTGGAAGTTTATTGAGGTAACCCATAAACGGTAAGGATAGTAAGGATCCAATTATCTAGTTTCATATTTATAGATTACATAGATGGGAGATCATCTAATCCCATCACGTAAAAAAGAAAGTCCATAAACAATATTCGTAGAAAAAAAAAAACAAATAAATGATGTAACATTAAAAAATTAAAATATCCATTTTTTAAACCAACGGATAAAAAAAATGTAAATGGAGAATATAATTGTTCCATTTTTTAAAGGAACACAACTAATAACGGAAATTAAGAATTTATTGCAGTGCATTTTATTTCTGCAAACAGAAAAATAATATAAATAAACTGAATTTCATGAATTCCCAATACAAAGCTTGATGGTAATTTGCATTGGTTATTGTCCGAATATATGTATGCTAACAATGTGATCTACAAATTTTAATTCGTATAGGTATATGCACCGCTGGTTTTTTGACATCCTAAAATTTAGGGTACATATACTAATGTACTGTACATGTGTATAACTGGTTTTTTTGTATAATAGTAAAAAATCAGTCGATTTATTATTATCAAATAAAAAAAAAAAAAAAAANAGATATCTAGAGAAATTTTTTGAAAAATATTGTACGACAGACAATATTAACAAATATGGAGAGATATACGTATGATGTAAGTATGTATTACGCGATAAAAAAAAAAAAAAATTATTTACAATGTTACACAGACTGGTGCAAGAATGTAAAACATATCAATTATATTACAATCGAATACCAGATAGTAAAAAAAAAAACCTAAAAATTGTTCATATCTGAAATTAGAATATCAAAATATTTAAAAAAAAAACTCCCATACTGTATGTATCTAAGACGACACTATATATATGTGTGTGTGTATATATAAACATTCCCTTGAATATTAAAATTGGTTGGTAAATGTGTAAGAGTATGGTTGACCTCAATGTTAAAAAGAAATAAGAGGAAACCTCCCTCCCTTTCTTTTAATAAAGATAAAAAGGAAACAGTGAAATAAATATGTGATTTTCGTTGGGTTTAAAGGTTAGCCTTATTAGGGACGAGTATTAAATTAAGAAAGAAGATTCATTATTGACATTTTTCCTGACTTTTTCGGTGATGAAGGTGCGGTTGTAGAAGAGAGCTCGCTTTGGCTCATGATATTAGCAACTGTAGCAAGAAAGTTCAATTTTCCATTCTCTGTAGGAGTGTAATTTATCATTTCTATGATATAAAAATAAATAAATAAAATTAAATGAATATTTGTAAATAAATAAATAAATAAATACATATATATTTTAAAAAGAAAGCTGGTTGTATTACCTGCAGATGGAGGGGGAGATGGAAGTTGAGAGGAGGACATTTGAGTAGTAAAAAATTGATGTTTGTCATATTCTTGTTCGTTTTCGACTACGGTTGTTGCGCTACTATTAGACATTATGCTTCTTATACTACTATGTCTTGATAGATTGGTAGTGGAGTAATTACTTTCGGCAATCATAGCCTTAGTAGAATAACTACCCTCTTCAGCAACCACAGTTCTAGCACTATCACTCCTCTTCAAATTAGATTCACTATAATAACTATAATCTTGTTCCTGAAGATATTCGTTATTATAATAATTATAATTATTATTATGATTATGATTATGATTATGATTAATATTAGTAGTAGTATTAATAGTGTTAAAAGTATTAGTAATATTAGTTGTATTATTAGCTACGGTAGATTTGGTTGTAGTTGTAGATGTAATTGGATTATGATTAAAATTATTAATGGTAAAAGGAGTAATATTGGCTGAAGTACTAAGTCTTCTATTTGCGGGATTTTTCTTTTTTAGTCTATTATTATAAAAATTCTTGATCATAAGTGGTGTTGCGTTAGGAATTTTCTTTGCAATCCTGGCCCACTTAAATTTATGTTTAGAACATTCATCTTCAATTATTTTAATCTCTTCATCACTAAATTTCCTCTTTTTAACTAAAGAGAGAAAATGTTTATTGTTTTAACATACGAACATAAAATAAAATAACAAAAAAAAAAAAAAAAAAAAAAAATTTCAAGTACTCACTCCTGGGATTTAAATGATTAACCCATCTCTCGCGAATCTGCTTGGAATCTCTAGTACCTTTAAAATGTTGTTCCAAGACAGACCAATCAATATCTTCCCCATCAACGCTATATTCATCTACGAGACGGATTAATAACCTATCCTCCTGAACATTTAAATTGATGAAATTTAAGCATAAGATGAATGATACCAACCATGAATAATTATTTATACAACCGCAGTAATTAATAATGAGAAACTTACGTCAAGAATCCATCTTCCTTTACGATTTCCTACCATATTATATTAATAAAATGTTTACAACGGTTATAAAGAAAGAAAAAGAGTGACAGTATGAGGATGATAATATTGTACGATAAACCACTAGCTATATATTGGTAGCAGTAGAATAAGTAAAATATTAAATTATAGTGCAAGAGAAGTATAATAGTTCTCACAGAGAAACAACGATATATCTCACTTCTTCTTACACTAATAATATTTAAAGAATGTTGACAATTTAAATAGTACTTAAAAAGGTTGACAAAAAAAAAGAAAAATTCAAAAAAAAAAAAAAAA